GTAATGCAGAGTAAAAACAAAAAAATGAGGCTGTGAGAAGGTACTGTAAAAACTGCCCTCTCAATAATGCCTCATTATCACATACTGTAGTTTAAGCAGGTTTTTGAAGACTTTAAGGCCTTTGAAGTGGCAATACTAGCAAATACCAGTGGCTTTATTCAGAAGTGTGTACAAGTACCTCATGAGGACCCTTCAAAATGATATACGAATATTTGTGGAGCACTGGAGAGGTCAGACATGTTACAATGAATGAATCTTGGTGAAATATAAAGAACATCAGTGCCTTCCCAGTCTTATTTTTTTATTGTAAAATAATACACTTTAAAAGATAAATCTACAAAAAATACACGGTCTGTGATTTTTAAAAATAAATAATAATAAAAAACAGTAAAATTCAAGAGTTAAAAAAATATTTTCCTCATGGAGTTATACACATTAGAGTTTTATGTTACATCTAATGTTGATAAATAATGCTTATTGCATTACTTTAATTTGATTTGTGTTACCATGGTGGTGTATTTGTAGTTGTGTGAATGAAGTTGTTTGTGATGAGCACTGGTTCATTATATGACTTTATCACCCCATGCTTATGGTTGTTTTTGTCTGTGTAATACATTGTGTAAATGTGAGTACTACAAAACATTGATGTATAACAGATCTATTACATTCCTACTGTATTTTTCACTGTAAAATTCCAGCAACTACAGCTGCCGTTTTCCTTATTGTAAAGCCAACAATATAATCCATTGTCAAAGGACATAATAGGTTTATTTGCTCAATGTCATTCATTCATTTTGTCGGCTTAGTCCCTTTATTAATCCGGGATCACCGCCGCGGAATGAACCGCCAACTTATCCAGCAAGTTAAACATCCATACACACATTCACACACACACACACACACACACACACACACACACACACACACACATGCACTACGAAAAATTTAGCCTACCCAATTCATGTCTTTGACCTAAGGGGGAAACCGGAGCACCCGGAGGAAACCCACGCGAAGGCAGGGAGAACATGCAAATTCACCAGAACAAAAATCACCAGTTCTCCCAATATTTCCAATCTGTGGGTGAATTCTTCACACTTTACTTAAATGATCTAAGATGATTTGGCAGATTTTGGATCTTTTAATCTTGATAACTGATCTCCGGCTAATTTGGTTCTTCAAACAAGTTTGCAAATCGGATTAAAATGTCTAGATGAACTGATCTGAGATTTTCTTTATTACAGTAGCTTAGGCCTATTTAAGTTTACGTATAATGAAAAAAAAAAGCATTTTGATATTGGTAAAGGTGTCTGCAACTTTTGCAAAGCATCAAATTACTGGCATACTATCTGTCAAAATGTGTGCATGACTGCATTAATGATTATTCCTTTCCTTCAAAAAGAATAAAATAAAAATAAAAAAGAGAATATTGTCCATGTCAGTTATCATACACAAATTGTACTAAACCTGGAGTGGTACTTTAAAGGGCACCTATGATGAAAATCATTATTTGTAAGCTGTTTGGACAGAACTGTGTGTAGGTGTAGTGTGTCCACAGTCATATTGGAGTGATAAAAACACTATGGGCTCTATTTTAATGATCTAGGCACAAAGTCTAAAGCACAGTGTGCAAAAGCATTATGGGCGTTTTTACGTTTGCTATTTTAAGAATGAAAAAATCCGCTCTGCACCACGGCGCATGGTCTAACAGGGCTGTGCTTATTCTCTTAATTAATCTTGAGTGTGTATTGAGAATAAAATAAATCAGCGTCTCGTCTCCCATTCCCTTTAAGAGTCAGTTGGGTCGCACCATGGCACATTTTCTATTTACATGACTTTGTAAGTGTGAAAACTGAATGCTTTACTAGTGAGAAAACAGCATCTGCAGTGCGAGGATTAAAAAAGATCTTCCTTCAATCTGCCTTTATTTTTACTTTCTCTTTCATAGATGAGGAAACGTGCTGTACGCACAGACATCCATTAGCCCACATATTTAATTTAGTTTGTAAAGCAAAAAGATTTGTTTCAAAACTATTTGTAAATTCAGTTCTAGTTTCAAGCAAATGAACAAATGAGCTATAATAACAATAAGTGTAGTCAAAAAAGTTATATCCAAACACACGTACTATGCCCCATATGGTCCGAAATTTGACAGATGGACAAATCTAAGCTTATTTTTAATAAAACAAATATAAATATGCATATAATAAATACTACTACTACTAATAATAATAATAATAATAAAAAATAATAATAATAATTACAACAATATAGAAAATAGCAAGTTGTCGTGAATAACTAACGCACTCCGCGCTGGACTTTAGACCTGCTTTCAGCTTGTCTATTGCAGTCTATTTAAGTTCCTCAAAATAGAAACACGCCAACAATGCGCCTTAACACACCTCATTTCTAGACCAGCACACCCATAAGTGGCACAATTGGATTAGCTATTTAAACAACATGGCGCAAAACCAGAAAATTAAGGTTGTGCTGGTCTGAAAATAGTAACATGTTGGGGCAACCACATTTTGCACCTTATTGTGCCGGGTGTATGACAGGGCCCAATGAGTCTCCCGGTTCGTAGAGGTTAAATCAGGATTATTTTATACATTAACATAACTGATGTCCATAGAGAAGTGGGTATTAATGTGTATCCAGTCACACTGCCAAGCAAAAACAGTGCAAAGTTAAACTTGCTGTGTCTGTGAACTTCGTAACATCATTGTATGTGGCTCATCGTTGCAGAAAGGGTTGAACTTCACAACAAATCATTGGGAAAGTTATTACTGTAGTATTTCTTACTAACGTTATGTGAGATCTGCTTCATGTCTGTCACTGTTATCTGACGGAGACAGAAAGACTCTGACAAGTATGTGAGAACAGTGGGCTGGGAGGACCAGCATTAAACACACACACACACACACACACACACACACACACACACACACACACACACACACACACACACACACACACACAAACACACAAACACACAAACACACAAACACACAAACACACAAAAAAAATTCCAATATTCTAAAAGGTAATAAATAATAATAATAATAATAATAATAATAATAATAATAATAATAATAATAATAATCTGATGGATGTTTTGGGCTGAAACAGACACATTCTGGGGACACAAAAGACTTATTTTAAATTTTGAAAAATAGGTGCCCTTTAAAATAGTACATATGGTAAATATTTATAGATGTTCTTTTTGAACCCCTTGGGTTATTGTACTTTTATTTTGGAATGCAGATTGCATACATCTTTAGGCAACAACATTTTCAGCAAAAAAATAAAAAATAAAATTATTTATATCAACTTAAATGCATTTTGCCTTTTTGTTTACACAACAGCAGCAATTTATTGAATGAAAATGTGTTCTTTGAAAATGGGTTTCAAGGTACTAAAAAGAATAATTCAAAATAAAAAAATTGGTGTGTATCTTCTGTTATTACAAGGGAAGACTTTTATTTTTGACAACATCGTTGTTTAAATGTAGCCTGAAATCCTTTCTGAAAGGGTTGTTTCCCACAGGTTTACCTGAGGTCATAGTGCTGACCATGTTCAAACAGACGCCACCTGCGTATGGGCTGTGTTAACATCATGACCTCTAGAGTGTTTTGCTCTGCCTGTTGTGGGCCAGTGGGCTGGACACTTGTAACCACGGTAACCTAATCTGACACAGCTGTTAGAGCTGTCTAGCTTCGATTTATCCTATTGTTCCTATTTGCCTTCCTTTCGCTTGGCTTCTAGCCTCCTGCTGCATTTTGCTCTTCCTCTCTTGCTGTTCTTCTGTAAAGCTCATTAATTACTTCCATCTGCGGCCGTTTACCTCAACTTGCACTTCTTTCCATTTAAACCGAGAGGCTTAGCTTCATTCCCTAGAGGTGTTTTAGAGGATTTGGACACCTGTGCTTCTGTTTCTCACCTAAACGCACTCAGAGTTTGCCCCTATGCCACACACTTGTATTTATATCTCTCCCAGAGCAATAACATAATCAGATTACTGACAAACACTATACGATTCATCAGTCACGGGTCCAAAGCTCGTCATTCGGTCCGTTTGAATCCCAAGAAACACATTCAAGCACTCATCAAATTTACATTACACAGCTGAATGTGAAAGCTTAGCACTCAGTGAGATTAAATCACTCTTTTTGTTCATTGTCCCATTCACACCCATAAGCCAGTGACCCTCTATAGGACGTCTACACACTGTAAATGCGAATAGTATTCCTTACTATCAAAATTCTAGTGTGTTTACTTAATTTTAAGCTAATTGTTGAGTTTACTAGAAATGCATTAGTGTCGCTGACATAGTAAGGTATAAAGTTCCCATAACTAATGTAATTTGAGTAAAATTGCTTATAAGGGCTAAGCCATGCTGTTACGCATGCGTACTGGGTGGTGATTTCCCATCCCCCATCCCGAGTCACAACCAACCGCCACCCAGCACCGCCATTGAAGGACAGGATTTCATATTGAGAAGATGTACTGCTGTAAATCAAGGTAAACTTTTCGTTTTAATTACTACTTTGATTTTATTTGTATAGTATCAGTAATCTGTTTATTTCCTGCACTTTGTGAAATTGTTTGCTGTTTTGTGAACTAATTAATAGCCCATGATGTTGTGACTAAACGTTTTGACCATTGCACGTTATTTGCAATACTGTCTACTTTACTGGATAAGCTATTTTTAGCTGCTTAGTCCTTTTTAATAACTATTAATAATTTGTAAAGTTAGTAGTAATTTGTAAAGTGGGCGTTATGCTCTAAAAGAGCGGGCCGCGCCATTTTAAATGATGCACTGAGAGAGCAAGAGCGCGCGCAATGATCTGTTCAAATAGATGTAAAGTTAACACATAGCTGTAGGTCTACATTTTTAAAAAAGAAAACGAAACCTATTTATCCGCATTACAAATACAGTAACGTTAGTTATCGCTGAACTTTAGTGGCGCTTGTTATGACGAAAATATGCGTGTTTTTTTTTTTAAGATTTACTTTTATGAGATCACCTGCAGGAAGCAGGTGAGGAGATCAGCTGTGATTCGGTCCGGCGTCAGCGAGCGGCTCATGACCAGACCAGTCGTTTTTTTCTCCATGATCGCCGGAGCAACAGCAGTTTTAACCCGCCGAGGCTTTTAGAACATTATAAAGCAGTTTCAGCTCAAAATGGACCCGTGAGTGTCGTAGGTAATTTAGGATTTCGATGCGATTACGATTCGTGTCTGTATGAGGCAGATACATATTTACACATGATGCTAAAGTGTGCTTATGCTAACAATCCCTATGAAACTTAAAGTTAAACTTATGAAAATGCGAGAGATATTTAATTAACTCATTTATTTGTTTTATATGCTATTTGTCTTTTCTTTATGCCGTTTTGAAGGTTTATTCCAGTGTTGCCGTTACGTTATTGACTGTTTTGTATTGCTGTAATGACAAATAAATCTGACCAGACGCGACTGAATATGTGTGATGGATAACGTTAATGATGAAGTGGTATAACTCGTACAACCAAGCACAGAAACATCCCTTTGTTTGCTCAATATCACACAAAGGCATCAACAAGCCTTTGTTATAAGCAAACTTTCTGTAAAGAAACAGGCTTTGCCAAACCTGTTAGTTTGCATTTTTAAAGAAGGTTTCACTAATTTTTAACAATTTAGGGCAAATAAATTTGAACAATTACAAGGTTGTTTAAAATTTAGCACACCATTAGAGTATTGTGAGTGGCATATTTGGTTTGTAATATCATTATACTCTTTATTTATTTTTTATTTCAGACTACCAGTTTGTGAGCTGATATGCAGTGGAAATGTAAGTTTTGCACTTAAACATCAAAGAAAACTTTTTGAACAATACCGCACAAGCCATAGAACATATTCATGAATTGTTCTATTAACGTTACCTTGTCTCCCTACTGAGTGTCAGGGTAATTTTAAATCGTTTAATGCATTAAAAGTACATTTAACAAAATTCTTAGCAAAGAACTGCATGATCAAGAATAGTCCGAATATTTTGTCCATTTGAATAATCATCTGAGGACTAGTTAGAAATAGGGTTGTTGTGTTGTGATACCATTAATTTATGTTACAATACTATACCAGCTGAAGTATGGTGATACCAAGTAGTATTGCAATACTGTAATTCATAACTTAAATCCATGAAATAAAGAAAAATGTCAGAAATAATATATTGTATATGTTATTATAGGCCTACTTGAATTTAAATAATTCCCTTATTGTTGAAAAAAGTATTTGCACATCTCTTCACCTAAAATGTATTCATTCCAGCAAAAAAATACATTAAAATAAAGATACATAAAGAAAAGAGCATTTTTCCAACAAACCTAGGCTATATGAAGTGGTCAAATTGTTTCCTGTTGCTATTTTGGGTTTTTCATCTATCATACTTTTTTCACACTTATTATCGGATAAGAATCCAAAGTAATTCAAAATTTCACTTTATGAGTCATTCTTTTTAATAGATTGTTACGGTTGTTGTAGCTATTATATCATATTGACAGGAACAGAAATAAACAAATTCCGATTCAAAATGAACCATCACAAAATATGCAATAGGCTACCATAAAAAGCGCAAATTCTACAGTTTTACAACCTTAAAAGGCTCCATAGACTATTAAAATACAATGATCTATTGTTGCTGAATCTTGTAATTATTTTAGTGACTTTTTCACATGCAGCATTATGTATTGTAGGCAGACTGTTAATGACAATACTACCGTTTACAAACTACAGTGGCACCGCCAGTATCTTGGAGCCATAGTATCACGATACTACCATAGTACCGGTAAACCGTGCAACCCTAGTCAGAAAGTTCAGTGTCCTTTTAAAGACATCAATTGAGACAAATATTTATTCCACTTTTAATGCGCATAAAAGTAAGGCACACCAGCAACAATGCCATGATTATATTTAATCGGGGGTTGTGTTTATTACTGTTTGGTGACAAGTATAGCTCATGCTTTTGATGACAGGCGCCGGGAGTATTTGGCAGCTTTTATTATTCAAGAACATTTAACTATGTCATGTTAAAGTGTAACATCTGTTGCTAAATGGCATTGCATTGTATCATTGCATGTGTTTCTGATTTCTGTTTTTTGCTTTAGAATTTCGCTTAGCCATGTCAATAACACTTTACGTTTTTGTGCACAACAGTGACATCCAGAAGGAAGTCATAGAGGAAACACCAGCTGATGCAAGTGCTGCAGAAGGTTTGTTTTATTTTCAAAACTTTGTGTGATTTTGTGTTTTTGAATGTTATTAATGACTAATAATGTTTTGATTGGATCTTTGCAGAATTCAATCGAATATCAGGAAGAAATGTGAGATCCAAGTTCTACGCTGCATTGGACACACACTGCTCGTTTGATTGAAATAAAAAAAAAAAAAACAGGAGAAAATTGCAGAAGAAAACTAGAAGAAATTTTCAACATGTTAATTCAAAGGTATTTTTTTGACATCATCTTTGAATCATAATTTGCATTTGATTGCAATAAATTGCATTTGATGTTTTCATTGGGCTATAATGCATGTCTACCTGTCTTTACTTTTTTAAGGTCATCTGGCAGCAGTTCTCCGGGGTCTTTCAATCCTTTAGAGGGATGAGTCTAAAGAAATTTTCAGGATGTGTTTTGTAAGTAGTATTATTGTTTCTGCTTTCTTAGACTGGAAATGAAGCAGTCACTCCAGTTTACTTCACTTATTAATAAAAATTTTCAATTTTATAAAAATAAAACAAATGCATTTAATGTAAGTATTTGAAAGTAAGAGGGATGTTATATTATGGCCTTTAGAGCAAGAGCATTGCTATGTTGCAAATACAGCAGCTTGTGCCGTCACAGGGTCATTTAGCTTCATAGGCCAGTGAAGTAATGAATGCATTTCTTTAATTTTTAAACACACTTGTTTTGAAAAGGAGGAAGATTAGCTTGAAAAAAAATCTTAATAAGTGTAATACCTATGTAATATGTTGAGAGAAATATAATTTCAGTTGAAAGAACCTGCTGGATTAAGATGTAAAAAGATAGTGTTAAAAGCCACAAAGTCAAAGATGCTCCGTATTATAACCAACCCTGTGAAGTCACCTGCTGTGGGATTGTAGATGGCTGCACCCTTGTTCTAAAAGCCATACTAAAACATCAATTTTCTTATTAAAAAATAGTTATTAATACATTTTTAAAAAGTGTGCTACATAATGCAAACTTGACTCACTGCTTTAATCTAGCAAAACCAAATGCATTCATGAATCGGTTCCCAATTTATTAAGTTTTCCCTACAAAATATTTATATCGATTATGTAGCACCAATTGGTCTCTCACACATTTGCATTTAATTTCTTGAAAATGTTTTAAAAGTACTTTTACTGCAGTTTGTTTTATTACATTACAGTGTTTCTTTAATTAAAAAAATGTATTGTTCCTTTAGAATAGTATCATGTTCAAGATACTGGAATTTGGTACCAATCTCTGCTGCAATTTAAGCAGCAAATTTCCTGCTAACATTTTAAGCACTTTTGAGCACATTTTTAAACAGCACTGTTTTGCCATTCTGTTCACATGCTTAACAGAAATGACACTCAACAATGCTCAAATGTTAGCAGGATATGGATGTTTTTAAAATTACTATATGGATTGGTAATAAATTCCACTATCATGACAAGCCTAGTAGAAGCAGTACAGGCAAATCCATCGTGTTGGTCTACATTGAAGAAGGAGCACCATAGCAAGGCCTTATAAGAAGCATTTGAATGTAAAATGTACTATAAACACAAATAGTCATGCTAATAAGCAACTAGTTAATAGGGTAATTGGTTCCTACTAAAGTGTTACTAAATTAAGCACAAGGAATTGTATTTTTTTCACCTCTGCTTTTGTTCTCCTGGCCACTACAGGCTTTATTAGTGCCATTTAGAATATCAAACTTTACTTATTTTTCTTTCTCTATTCATAGGATGTAATTGTAGAGTCGGAATTCAGTGCAGAAGATGTTGGCCTGCTGACTGTCGTGTGTGAAGATGTCTAAAGAACCTCATTATGGATGCAATGTGGGCCTTTATACTGGAAGGAAAAGTGGTTATGGACTTTGCCACATGCAGTATGTCTCTTTTTTTGCTTTGATTTACACACTGAATTCGGACTACCCAAAGACTTTGAGCAATGCATTTGAATTTGTTCAACGTGTGTTGCTTTTGCTGGGAGGGAAGCGTAATGTGTTTTATTCGGCGAGTGCCTATATACTGCTGTGCTTTATGTTTAAAGCTTCAGGTATAATGGCATGTTTAATTACAAAGTGTTGCTTTTTAACATGTTGCTGTTTGCAGTGTTACATTTAGGACTGCAGCATTTTGGTGTTTAAAACACTTTTTTTTTTTTTTTACCAAAAAAGTGTATTGTGATTTATAGGGTTGTCAAAAGTATTGAGTTTGGTACCAATCGGTACTGAAATAAATAAAAAAAAAAGTCCATCCATTTCCCACTAACATTGCAAGAACTGATCGGCCATTGTGTTCACATGCTCAGTAGATATGACTGATTGGCTTTGAAGGTCATTATTTTTACCACACTTCACCACTGTTCACCAGGTGCAAAGATACAAAGACACTGGATAACTTCAAAGCACTGTCGATCAGTCGATTCATCACCAGATAGCTTATATGTTAGCTTCTAAACAAATCAGCTATCGACATGGCTTTGAAACACTTCAGTGTCTGTGTAACTTTGTTTGGACTCAGTGAAAAATGGTAAACCTATGACAGTCACAGCCAATCACAGTCATTTCTGTTAAGCATGTGAACACAGTGGCCAATCAATGGTGTTTAAGAACGAGCTCAGTAGCACTCAAATGCTGGTGGAAAATGGATATTTTTAATATTTCAGTATTGATTGATACCAAACTCAATACTTTTGACCACACTAATGTGATATTTTCTGTAGGAAAATCTAAACTACACAGTCTAACAAATTAGCTTTAAAGCTTAATATCTGTTCCTCTGTGAGTGTCTATATGCTGCCATGTTTAAGGTGCTGGTGCAATGGCATGTTTAATTACACTAATTCAAGTATATTTTTTCCAAGTGTCAAGTATTTAAAGTTTTTTTGATAGATTTTCAAACCTTTTCGAAAACTTGTGTTTTAGGGTTGAACATGTTTATTATATTTTTTGTCTGTATTGCTGTTTACAGTATATTACAGCACTTTACAACAGGTTTTTACAAAACTGTATTGTGTACAAGTGTATTGTGATAATAAAATATCACAAGTGTATTGTGAAATTCTGCTAATTTTGTCAAATAAAATGTTTACATTTAAGACCTGTATAATGTCATTACTTGTAGGTTGAACTACATATTTTATGTTCAGTTTAATTGAAGAAAATGTGGAAACCGATTGCACGTAGTTTCTTTAGTTGACATTACTTAAAATGGTGGATTAAAACAATGTTGAGACTACTAGCATTCAAGATGTTAACTGAACATGGTAGAACAGTATTAGTTAAATAGAGTTATTAAAGTAATCTTACTATAAAACCCTAAGTAAGATTACTAAATAATGACAAGTATGTTAACTAGAATTTTCTATTAAACTTACTTAATTTTTAACAGTTAGTTTACTTTATAAGTTTTAGTTTTCTTACTTCAAGGCAATAATTAAACTTAACTTAAAATTTCCTTGTAAGTTTATATTGCAAAAATAAGGCAATCGGTTTCCAAACTTTTTTTAAGTAAACTGAACATGTTAGAATTTACAGTGCAAGGTTAGTGCAAAAAATAGGTTATGTTTGTATTCTAAACTGCTTTGTTGCCGTGTTTTAGAGTTAAAGAGCCCCTATTATGCATTAAAAGGTTCATATTTTGGTTCAACAACAGGCTGATATGCGTGCAAGGTCAAAAATACTTTCATTGTCTTATAATATGCATTTATTTTTACCTAATTATCCCAAGAACCTCAATATGATTTAGTCAGCAATTCATTTGTTCCCAAATCTCTCCTTAGTGCGAAGGTAATCTGTGCTGATTGGTCAATAACCCAATCTGTTGTGATTGGTGGAGTGGGTTCAGGGCAAGACAAAGAGAAATGCCCACCACGGCTTATTAACAATTTTGAAATAGTCAGAGTGTAGAGTATGTGTGAGCTCAATGCAGGAGGGCATTAAAAAAAGCAATGCAGTTAAACACCAGCTGATTGCTCTATTCTTAACCATGACACACATTCAGTATTACTCCACACAGTGGCAATTGCTGAACTATTTTGAAACTTGACCACCGCACATGTATAGGAACAGCTGATGGTGGCCATATCAATGACAAACAGCAGAGGATTGCGAGCTTACAAACGCATTTAAATTCATAAACAAAGTGGCACATGCCACGTTTCAATGTGGTTTTAGATGCGATATGAGAATATACAGTTAACTAGATACAGTCAAGTCATGTGGATCGGTTACAAGTAACAAAACACAATTAAATTCACATTTTGCAAGCAAGAAAAAACAAGGAGGCAACCACTTTGATCGCACTTAAGTTACTTACACTTGTGAAATAGAAGAAACCAATCCATGAACTGTGTACTGTAAAGTTCCTGTCAAGTTCTAACAAAATCCTATACATCAATAGTCTTCATTGATCCTTTCTTTAACAAATATATAATAAATCCCCCGTTGTGAGCGTGTAGATTACTGTAGCACTTGTCAGAAAAATGACAGAAACACGGCACAAGGCTGGGGCTATAATGCAGAGGTATTTTTGCAAAAATAAACTTCAACCACTGACTCTTCACAGCCTCAAAGAAAATTACACTAAATTTCCTTCACACTTCAGTGCACAGCATCATCATGACCACCGAGATCTGCTACAGTGTTTGTGGATGGGGCCACAGGTTTCAATTTTCCCGGGTCTGCACAAGCAACAAATTAGCGGGGCTTGAATTCCGTAATCGACATCACACCGACACGGCTAAAGATTAGTTACACCCACGATTCATTTGAACCACTCTGATTCGACTCTTTTATGGATAAATGAACAGTTTTGAACCCTGTGTACTTTCAGATTTAAGCCATAGCTGGATATTTCACTTCACTTAGAGCTGTTTTACACACTGTATGGAAAGTCATTTTTAAAAACCCAGAATAGGGGCTCTTTAATACTAGGGCTGCACAATATTGGAAAAAAATATTTTATTT